TTTGTTGCTGAGCTTTCACCAATAAATGTGCTTGAAGGCGAAGAGATCTTCCTAACTGCAACTGTTCAGGGGCGTCCTCAACCAGCTGACGTCTTATGGACTCATAATGGCACAGCTCTGCGCCCCGAAAACACAGATGCTGCACTTTACTATGCCCCAGAGACGGGAGTATGCGAGTTAACCATCTCAGAGGCGTTTCCTGAGGACTCCGGTCTTTACTCGGTTGAGGCGCATAATATTTATGGCAAGGCGGTCTCACAAACCGAGGTTAGGGTGGGCGCCGAGAAACATGTCGTAATGATGAGAGAGATTATTGTGGAAGAGGAAATTGAGCTTTTGAGAGCGGGTGAGGACGATAATTTGCTACTTGTTGAGGTACCTGTCCAAAAGGAGACGACAACTGCGGAACTGGTTACCAAGTCAGTTACGTTTGCGGACACTGTCAGTTTTGAGCTTTACTCGCCAACCGAAATGGTGCCTGTGACAATAGAAGAGCGACTGGCATATGAAGAGACTGAAGTTTTTAAGTCAGAAAGCCTAGAGTCCCTGGAGCACAGTGAAGCCTCGTTCACTACAACCGACGAAGAGTTCGTCCAGCTTATTTCAGAGGAGCCTGAGGAGATGTCTATTGAGAGTATACCTCAGGAGATATATGCCACTTTGCCACATGAGCCCATCATACTTGATATTCTGGTACCCCACGATGCAGCTCAGGTAGCCGAGACGACAAGTCTTTACGAGGAGGCTGAAAAGGCCGATTCACCACCAGTCGCTTTACAGTCTTCCATTATTCTGGTTGAGCCAAAAGAGACTGAACTTTTAGTTGAGTGTCAGACAGAGGAAACTATTGCGGAAGCAGTTGTAGCTCCAGACATTGTTGAGACTTGTCTGGCGTCTGTGCCTACAGAGCCGTCTAGGCATACTGCACAGCTGGATCAGACAGTCTTTATTGTGGCTGAACTACTTGAAGTGGAAGGAGTTTCCGAACTCAGATCGGCAGGAGGAGTACCAATACTGGCACCCCATTCCGAACAAGAAGGGATACCAGAAATCCAAATTATGCGACCGGAGCAGATGGCCCGTGAGATCACAGAGCCGGTCTCGGAGGAAGAGACTTTGATGGGCGATTTCTACCCGACAGACGAGGAACAACCGAAGGCAGACGAAGTCCAGCCACTGCTTATTGCTACACCAATAATAGCCAAAAAACCGGAACAACAAATTCTGGAAGCCACATTGGTGGAACCGACAAGCTTTGTAGAAGTTATACAAGAGGTGGATGAGATTACAAATGACACCCAAGAGGTCTCCTCTCCACAACCAATTCAACAAGTGCACGTATCCAAGCTGGAACAAAGAACTGTAGAGTCTGAAAAGCCTCAAGTGGTGCCTGTTGATCTTGAATTAATTCCGGAAATTTTGGAAACTGTGCCCGAATATCAGGCTTTGATCCCCTCGGACGAGGGTGCAGAAAAGCCCGAATGCGGGAAACCAGTTCAGCACGCTGAGGAAGGACTAATGGGACAAGAAATGCCTAAGATTGACGATCTGCCATGTATGCCTGAGGATATCAGTCCAGAAACCTCAGTTCTAGTAGCAGAATCGGTTCAAAAAGCTGACACAACAATGCTGGTGCAGCAGACACCTGAGAGCCGTTTGCAAATAGTCAAAGACGCGTTGGACGAAATCTCTGAAGTCACTGAACTCGTGGCTGAAGGTCTGCAGCTTCCGAGTGAAGTGGTGGACGTTGTGGTCTCGTTGAGTACAGAGACCAAAGCGGAGCTTATCGACTCTTCGGTATCAGCCGAAGAGGCAAAAGCAGAAGCCCAGGAACAGCCCACAGTCGTTGTCGTCCAGCTCGATTTCGCCCCCGAAGAGACGGTTGTAGCGGCCAGTCCGCCTGTAGAGTCGAAGTCTCAGCCTGCCACTGTGGCCTCCAAATTGGAACCGGGAATTAGCTCAGATCATAAGCCCCTAACTTCCGTGGATGAGGCCTTTGGGCCAGAGGTGATCGAGGCGACCGAGAAGTTAACCGAAACCGATGTTGAAATTGCTGTTCAACAGGACTCGCCCGAGCTTCTAGAGCAAACATCCATCCAGGCAGAATCGACTCCAATGCATGAGCAAGTCTCGGGGCTAGATGTGCCCACGGATGAGGAGATACAGACTTCAGTTGTCATGCAAAAGCCTGAGGCCCGTGCAGCGCCTGTGCTGCCGAGTGAAGAAGAGATGCCGGCCACTTTGGAAGTGATCGAATCCACCGAGATGGCTACTGCCACCAGCTCAGAAATGGTCGCGGTAGAAGAGCATGTTGAGCTAGAGGAGACCTCGAGGACTGTTCAGCTGCCCACGGAGGTTGCGGCTGTCGACCGGGAGGCGGCAAAGCCGTCAGTTCAGGAGTCGGCAACCAGCGAGCTTGAAACCATCGGGACGGCGCATGAGACAATCGAGATTCCCGACGTCAACTTAATTAGTACGACTACACTAGCCGAGATCGCAGAAGAGCCCAGCAGCCACCAGACTACGGTAGATGTGCAGCATCAGATGCCGCCAGCCGAGACTGCAACCGTTTTGCCTGGTGTTGACATTGGAGGAGAGCTCATGGCAGCTGAGCTGAAGGAGACTTTGCTCTCTGAACGGTTGGGCGATCTTCCTCTTGACATGGCTAAGATGGCTCCAACTGTGGTGGAGCAGATGCTCCTGGCTGAGGTGAGCAAGTCGAAGCAACAGTTGGCCAAGTTGGAGCCGACTAGAGTGGAAACAGCCAGCACCCCTGCTCTGCAGGTGAAGCTGGAGGTATTTGTGGAGACGACCGGCCCTCTGGAGCCCTCGGAGCCAACAGAATCAGTCACTCTGGGCTCTAGCGACGACGGCGAAGAGGCGATTGCTGGAAGAATAGCCTCGTTGGGACCCATACTAGAGACCATCTCGGAGGAACTTTCTTTTGTTCAGGACTTACATCAAGTGTCTGAGTTGATCGAAATCAAACACGGAGAGATCTTACTTGAATGCCAAGTGATTGAACTGCCCAGCTTTGGCGTGCAATGGTTCAAGGTGAGTCTGACTGTTTCGACTCTATACTTCGTATCGAAGAGTCCAAATGCCTTTTATAGCTCTATACGATTTCATTAGAGG